CTTCACTGGACAGAGGTTGCTCTCAGGTTTTGTGATGAAACAAAGGTGTGGTTGAATTTATTCTGCCACGGTGTCATCTTATTGTCTTGGCCTTAGGCCTATATATCACTGGTCGCAAGGCATATGAACTAAAAGGTTATAGAGCAAACAATGCAATTATCACAACACTTAGGTTGTAATAAATTGCTTTTTTTCTGGCTTGGCTTCCAGTGATTTTACCCATGCACCGCTACTGGATTTAGTGCATTTTTATTGGGTAAGCATTAGAATAAACCACCTCAATATTTGCAGCCATAGGTGGTAATATCTCTCTAGGAGCTGATCCATCATCAGTATTGTGAAATAATTATAATGTTAAGGAAATATTTGTATGGAGAAAGCTGATCCGAGAGCAGCACTCCCTTTCTTTTTCTCGATCGTTTCAGTATCGACACATGCTCCAACGAAGCACTTAGCGACCGTTCTCGTGTTTTTTTTGGAAAACGCATGTTACGCAATCAGCCGTTGCAGGAATGATACATCGTTAAAACGCTCGTAAACCTAAATTCCAACGCTATTGTGAAACCGGATCCTGGATTGTGTTGAACATTCAGCTATGGCAAAAAGTTAGTTACAGTGTAAAATAATGGGGGGAAAAGTTAACCAAAATCCCCTTTTGTCATAGATGACTTCAAGAGAGCATAATCTAATTGAGTCATCAAAAAGATTCAAGGAGAGATTTTGTGAAATGAGTGACTGGAGGGTTACAGATTTCGGAATTCCTGTCACCATATTGTACTGTAGCCTAGTACTTCAAAAAAGTGTTCTTCAATTACTTTTGTTGACATAATGGGAAGATCCTCACTGATTTTATTATATTGCTACAGTGTCAGATACTCACACCTCTTACATTAACTACAGTATCTTCTCTCTCCACCTAGCAAGGTTTGATACAGTCTCTGGTCATGAACAACATACCAAGAGGGAATGCCGTCAGGCTGCATTATTAAGCAGCCAAGAGAAACAAATATTTATGTAGGCTAAAGGTATACTTGCACACAGCTCTTAAGGTTTTACACTTTCAAAAAGTGAATATCTATACTACGGAAACCCTCTATAGTAGATATATTTTACAATGTCATGTGATAAAATAAAAGGTAGTCTTTGTTTGAAACTATAAATGGTTTGTTTGTATTTTTAATGGCATGAAACAAAGCTTCGTGAAGTGTGAAGAAATTGTAGAAACACCATCACTACGAATAACAAACCAAACCTTTGAAGAGGTACAGCGTGCTACACCTCAATCAAACCTGGCAACCAGAGTTCCAGGGTATGTCAAAGATATACAGTCCCCTCCGTATTTATTGGGACAGTGAAGCTAAAACGTTTAATTTGGCTCTATACTCCAGCAATATCAATTTGAGATCAAATGTCTGTTTAAGTGTTTAGAAATTAAAGCCCTTTATGCATCTAGTCCCCCCATTTGAAGGTGTCATAAGTATTTGGACAAATTCACCTATAGTGTATTCACTTCTACAATAATGTGGATGCTACCATGATTACGGATAATCATGAATGAATAATGAATAATGAGTGAGAAAGAGGCATAAATATCATCCCCCCCCAAAAAAAAATGTACCTCTCACCATTACCAAAAACGGGAGCGTATAATTTTTTTGGAGGGGGGTATGATATTTATGCTCTTTCTCACTCATTATTCACGATTCATTCATAATTATCCATTATCATGGTAGCATCCGCATTAATGTATAAGTGTTCAGAAACACATTCTATTCCATTCTGACTCAATACATGATTTACCATTAATTTCTATAGATCACAACACAATCCAAAACACAACCAAAACAAATTGTAAATGCATCCAACAAGTTTGTAGAGTCACATGCTTGATGTAGCCATTGCGTGCTAGGAATATGGGACCAATTACTAAATGTTGTCTACTTTAATACACTATAAGTGAATTTGCCCGAATACTTATGACACCTTCAAAATGGACTAGATACCTAAAGTGCTTTCATTTCTAAATGCTTAAAACAGATACGCATGAAAATACCCTCTAATAAAATATGACATTCTGTAGTGTCACCTCGTAGGAAACATTTGATCTCAAATCCAAAATGCTGGAGCATAGAGCCAAATTAAAACGTTTTTGCTTTACTGTACAAATAAATACAGAGGGGAGTGTAGTTGTTCAGGTATGCAACAATGTCACCTCATAAACAGTGTTTCATTAAAATCATAAATAGAGAACCTGCAATCTTGCAATGCAAGTGAGTTGTTTTCGTCTTATCCTAGAAGTCGGATTTGATTGAATAGGGCCCTTAGTTGGACTGTTAAAAATGTGTTACTGAACAGGAACTAAATGTCACACTTACCCATCCTCCATCTTCAGGAGGTGAGGTCACTGTCCGTTGTGAAATATGTGGGGTAAACAGGCATCTGGGAGAGCTGAGGTATTTTGCTTTGTGGCCCAATGGTGGAACAAATGTAAAAATTAATCTGATAGGAGTCTGTTAACAGACAACAATACTCTAGTTTCACAATAACAATGTGCCAGTTTTATGTTCGACATGCATCTTTTGATTAGAAAGACATTTGGTCCTGCCTTCATGGTATTTACATTATGCAGTCAATATAATAAAATAACATTTTGTCACATGCGCCGAATACAACAGTAGAACTGTAAGTAAGAAAAGTTTGCTCAATAAACTAAAGGAAATATAGTAACACAAAAGTACAATAACGAGGCTATATACAAGGGATAACACAGTAATCGAGTGAGAAGTAGACAATCATTCTTCTAGCTTAGCAAGAATTGTTAACTTCATATCAATTCAATCACGCGTTTCTTACTATGTTTAAACGTTATAATGGAAATACAGATTTTGATTGAATAGGCCAGGCAGTCTGCAAAACACTGCACCTGATAGCCAAGGCCTTTTATTTTTTTACTTTATAATAACCTTAATAAATAAGCATTTATAAATGATTTATCATAAGTATCCCACAATTTCTAAACATGTATAAGCATTCTAGACCTTACAACTCATAGGTATTTAAAACAATTAAAACATTTAGAAATATGATAAAAAAGGTTATTATAAAGTGTTACCAGGATATACATACATATTACAAAAACGGAATTGTTTTTCAAATGAATTTTAATAAAATGATAGTTACATAGGGAATGAGTTGAGTTACAAAAAGCAACTGTATGATCAAGTGTACCAACCTCCAACAGTGTTTGCTTTCTGGGTTGTTTTCTTATGCCTCATTTAGAATTGATCAAATCCAGTTATTAACCACAAACAAACTCAATACCCTCTCAAGTGACTATAAACTAGGCCTACTGTAAAACAACATTTAAGAAAAAGTATCATACTCAGGCACTGAGCCACCTGTGCTAACGCAACCTTGCAGGGTTAGCATGCTGGTAGGCCATTTTGAGTAACCATGCATTGTTCATTCTTCAACCATCTTAAGGGTTCACTTCACACATACCTTCACTACCCTTTTGAAGTTTGTGAGAGAACAACCAAACCTATGACCATGAACTCACATTGTGTAATAATTTATTTACTACTGACACTACATGGGCAAAAGTATGTGGACACCCCTTAAATGTAGTGAATTTGGCTTTTCAGCCACACCGTTGCTGATAGATGTATAAAATCGAGCACACCGCTATGCAATCTCCATAGACAAACATTGGCAGTAGAATGGCCTTACTGAAGAGCTCAGTGACTTTCAACATGGCGCCGTCATAGGATGCCACCTTTCCAACAAGTCAATTCGTAAAATGTCTGCCCTGCTAGAGCTGTTCTCTGGAGAGATGAATCACGATTCACCATCTGGCAGTCCAACAGACGAATATGGGTTTGGCAGATGCCAGGAGAACGCTACCTGCCCCACAGCATAGTGCCAACTGTAAAGTTTGGTGGAGGAGGAATAATGGTCTGGAGCGGTTTTTCAAGGTTTGGGCTAGGCCCATTAGTTCCAGTGAAGGGAAATCTTAAAGCTACAATGACATTCTAGATGATTCTGTGCTTCCAACTTTGTGGCAACAGTTTGGGGAAGGCCCTTTCCTGTTTCAGTATGACAATGCCCCCATGCACAAAGCGAGGTCCATAGAGAAGTGGTTTGTCGAGATCGTTGTGGAAGAACTTGACTGGCCTCCTGAGTGGCGCAGTGGTCTAAGGCACTGCATCGCAGTGCTAACTGTGCCACTAGAGATCCAGGCTCTGTCGCAGCCGGCCGCGACCGGGAGACTCATGGGCGGTGCACAATTGGCCCAGCGTCGTCCAGGGTAGGGGAGGGAATGGCTGGCAGGGATGTAGCTCAGTTGATAGAGCATGGCGTTTGCAACGCCAGGGTTGTGGGTTTGATTCCCACGGGGGGCCAGTATAAAAAAAATATATGTATTCACTAACTGTAAGTCGCTCTGGAAAAGAGCGTCTGCTAAATGACTAAAATGTAATGTAAATGTAATGGCCTGAAGAGAGCCCCGACTTCAACCCCATCGAACACCAACTGCGAACCAGGCGTAATCGCCCAACATCAGTGCCTGACCTCACTAATGCTCGTGGCTGAATGGAAGCAAGACCCCGCAGTAACGTTCCAACATCTAGTGGAAAGCTTTCCAGAGAGTGGAGGCTGTTATAGCAACAAAAAGGAGGCCAACTTCATATTAATGCCCATGATTTTGGAATGAGATGTTTGCCGAGCAGGAGTCCACATACTTATGGCCATGAAGTGTACATTCATTTCTGGGCAGATCTAGACTATGGCTATGAAATAAAATTAATTCAACAACCTACAAATAGTATAGATTTTTAATTAACTGCCTAAACCTTTAAGAAAGTTGCATTTCTTTAAACTGAAATCAATTACAGAATGCATTTACATCTAGTCCATAAAAATACACTAAGTATCAACATACACAGTATGTTGTAAGGCTTTCACAAGGTGCTCTGCCTGTGAAAAATGTATAACACTTGGCATCAGAGTGTTTTCTGAACACTAGAGATTAAGTAAATATCCTTGTCCGTTTCAGGTGTGAAGGCCAGCACGTTGTCCTTCACTGGTGACATGGGCTCTCCTTTCTTACAGGGGTTTATCTTTGGATTTTCTCTGCAACACAGACAAACACATACTTAACGTAGTTCCCATGAAAAGTATGTCACAAGAAAGAGATGATTATCATATATTTGGTAAAGCTGTGATCTATTCTGAAAAATATAAAACGCAACAATTTAAAATATTTATCATGCTGAAACATGACGTGATTGCGGCGGATTAATTGCACGACAATGGGCCTCAGGATCTTGTCACGGTATCTCTGTGCATTCAAATGGCCATCAATAAAATGCAATTGTGTTCGTTGTCCGTAGCTTATGCCTGCCCATACCCTAACCCCACCACAGGGCACTCTGTACACAACGTTGACATCAGCAAACCGCTCACCCACACGACGCCATACGTGGTCTGCGGTTGTGAGGCCGGTTGGACGGACTGCAACATTCTCCAAAACGATGTTGGAGGCGGCTTATGGTAGAGAAAATAACATTATCTGGCAACAGCTCTGGTAGACATTAATACAGTCAGCATGCCAATTGCACACTCCCTCAAAACTTGAGACATTGTGTTGTTTTAGAGTGGCCTTTTATTGTTCCCAGCACAAGGTGCACCTGTGTAATGATCATGCTGTTTAATCAGCTTCTTTATATGCCACACCTGTCAAGTGGATGGATTATATTGGTAAAGGAGAAATACTCGGGATGTAAACAAATTTGTGCACAACATTTGAGAGAAATAAGCTTTTTGTGCATATGGAACATTTCTGGGATCATTTATTTCAGCTCATGAAACATGGGACCAACATTTTACATGTTGCATTTATGTTTTTGTTCAGTGTAGCTTGTACCCCCATGTTTAGTAAAATGAAAACGATTGAGAAACATTTCTGCTGAATAAAGAAATAAGGACACATTCCATTAATTAAATCATACTCTGTCATGCTCATCACGTGTCATATGTACGTGCCATTGCGACTGGTGCCTGTGGTTCACTAGAAAGTAATGCATTACTGCACACCCATTCTTAAAACGTCCAAGTAGTAATGACAGAATGTCCCTTTGCAATTTGCCAGACCACACCCAGATCTAATAGACTGAATCACTCACTCTTTTACATAAGCATTTAGTTACATACCACACATTGGCATCAACATAATACCTCGGTAGAATGCTGCCTCTGTTGGCTACATAGAGTACTGAATATGTTTTGTTTCAGATTCCACTTGTCTTCACTTGAGTGAATGACTGCGACACTGAACAAAAATATAAAAACGCAACATCCAAATTGTGGGTCCCATGTTTCATGAGCTGAAATAAAATATCAGAAATGTTCCATATGCACAAAAAGCTTATTTATCTCAAATTGTGCACACATTTGTTTACATCCCTGTTAGTGAGCATTTCTCCTTTGCCGAGATAATACATCCACCTGCCAGGTGTGGCATGTCAAGAAGCTGATTAAACAGCATGATCATTACACAGATGCACCTTGTGCTTGGGAAAATAAAAGGCCACTAAAATGTGCAGTTTTGTCACACAACACAATGCCACAGATGTCTCAAGTTTTGAGGGGTGGTGCAATTGGCATGCTGACTGCAGGAATGTCCACTAAAGCTGTTGCCAGAGAATTAAACGTTCATTTCTCTACCATAAGCCGCCTCCGTCATTTGAGAGAATTTGGCAGTATGTCCAACCGGCCTCACAACCGCAGACCACGTGTATAGCATTGTGTGGGTGAGTGGTTTGCTGATGTCAACAGAGTGCCCCAATGGTGGCGGTGGGGTTATGGTATGGGCAGGCATAAGCTACCGACAACAAACACAATTGCATTTTATCGATGGCAATTTGAATGCACAGAAATACTGTGACGAGATCCTGAGGCCCATTGTGAGGCATTTGTGACCAACAGATGCATATCTGTATACCCAGTCATGTGAAATCCATAGATTAGGGCCTAATGAATTTATTTCAATTGACCGATTTCCTCATATGAACTGTAACTCTGTAAAATCCTTGAAATTGTTGCATGTTATGTTTATATTTTTGTTCAGTATAGAAATTTGAGACAAGTTTGTGACAGATCCTTTGAACACAAATTGGTTGTGTTCAAAGGGAAAAATACAAGTATGGGGACTACTGTTGAAGGTTGGTATTAGGCCTAATCTATAATCTTTTATAAAGCAAAGACAATTGAAAGGTGTAATCCAGCTACTGGGCTGAGGACTAATGATATGCAGTCTATGATTTTAAGTATGCAGGTTATGATTACCCTCACTTACTTAAAACCAAAGTTTTTCCAGAGGCCACTGATGGTGGCCTGGAGGCCAGGGTTGTTCTCATTGTTGGTGGCGAGTTTCTTTCCAGGCCCTGCAGGCTTTTTACGGAGGCCACTGGCCTTGGCTGGGGCAGAGTGTCGGATCTTTGTCCCTTTCCCTTGGTCACCGGGTTTCATCCGCGGTAGACCTGCCACCTGGTGAGAGAGAAGGGAAGGAAAATTCACTGTGGGGATATAGCATGTTCATCACAAAAGTGTTCTAGATGCCAAATCTCTATTGAACCAACATGATACAAAATGGTCCCACATAAAGTAAGCTACCTTCGCTCTCATTGTGCTGGGTTTCTTTTCATCCGCTGTTGGAGAGGAACTGGGGCTTTTGCCAGAGTCTGAATCCTTACTTGAGTAAATTATCTTAGAAAACAGAAGACAGGCAGTAAATTAATAAAGCCACCGCCACCACTCATCCAAACCACAACCTAAAAAGCCATGCATATGCACACTCAACTAGCTTGCAGTAATGCACATGCAAGTGTTATGACGCCTACGCATTACTAATTAACAGAGGAAACAGTGACGTACAGGTGTGGTGGCATCCTCCAGCCGAGTGGGTGGGGACACTTCCACTACACTGCAGGATGTGTGGTTATGCTGAGAGAAGTAGGCACTGTCCTGAGACGGTGGAGAGTTTGGTGGTGAATCCTTGTCCTCTTGGCCCAGGATGGGAGATGGGGCTCTAGGGGTCTTCCGAGTCCTCTGGCCTTCCTGGCTCCAGGAGAAGCTTTCCTTCTTGCGCTGGAACTGCTGCAGGGCCGAGAGGCCGGATGTGGGTGTCAGGGTCCTGGATCTCTCCGAGGAGCTGCCTGACCAGCGGAACACCCCTAGCCCTTGACTGGCAGGCAGAGAGGAGGGGGGTGGGCTATGAAGGTCAACAGAGTCATTCTCCTCTGTCTCAGCATATCCCACGACACAATATTCGTTACTGGGGTCCTCTGTGACCTCATCCTGAGACACCTCCCCTTTGACAAAAGACACCTGATTCAAGCTGACCACCTCACTGGAGCTTCTGCCACTACAGAAGAACCTATAGGGGAAAATATCCACCATTTAGTCAGACAGTATCACAAAACATGAAGAAATGTGGGCAAAACAATGGGATCAGGAAAACAATTGGAAGAACCAGTGGTTTTAGGTAGGTCAATTTCAGTGATGTAAAAGATAAGACGAGTTCGAAAGAAAGATTTCCTATAAAATAAAGTTGCTGTTGCAATGACTAAAAGTGTGTATTATAAGATCATACCTGCTTCGCATTCCCTGCCCGTCTCCAACTCCATCCTGGTTCCTCCTCTGTAGCAGGGTGGCGAAGCGGTTGCGGGGTCTGGGATGGGTAGCAGCAGCAGTGGCACTGGACCGGGGGCATGTGGAGATGTGTTGGCTCTCTGTGGGTTCAGGGTCCTCCTCCCCTCTGGACCTCTTCTGACCAGAGGGAGAGTACTGCTGCAGCACATCCTGCTCTGAAACACCAGAGTCTTTGGGAGATGAAGGAAATCAGAAGTCTATAATATAACAAATATTTATCAAAACCACTTGGAAAGAATGTTTGAGGTATACATTAATCAAATACATTGATAAACTTTTTATATAAATGACAAAGTGTAGGTTTTTCCTGTTCTATATGAACGTAACATTGGGTGGAGCTTCAAAATGTAATACAAGTAGAGGCTTTACTATAGAATGACTGATAAAACTTCACAAGATGAACTGGGATGTTATGGCAATAAAAATGTGTTTCCCCCTGAACAATCCCAAATCCTCACACCTATATTTAAACAGAGCTGGGTTAATCAAGTAATCTTCCTTCCTATAGTGATTGAAAAGAGCACCTCTCAAACATGGGAGCAACAATGAGATAGCAGACTAATCTCACCTTCTCTGGGCCTCTTAACCTGGGTGTTCCTTTGAGGAAGCCTCAGCCCCTGCACACTGATGACCCGCTCCTTTCCCCTGGTTGAAGGGGGCCTCTCTGGAGAGCCCACAGGCTGGGAGGCAGAGAGGGTGCCTGGTGTGTAACCTCTGCTCCAGATGCTAGGGTGTATGGAGGCCCGAGTCTCCTGGCTGGCATTCCAGTCACGACTGCGTGGTTTCACTGGCTAAGAAACACAAAGGGAGGAAGGATTTAGATACGTTACCGTAAATGACGTGCGCTTTAGCAAACTCCTCTATGGTTGTCATGCCATACATGTACAGCATACAGATCTGGGGTCAGGCTAGGTTAAGCACTCACATTTGCAAGTTAAATATTCATACAATTGTATTGATTGACTGTAAAAATAGCTAAGTACACAAGCAAAACAACAACCTAGCAGTACAACTTACTGTGATGATGAATGAGTAGTGTTTGTACAGAAATGACTATTATGTTAGTCATTCTACCTAGTACCTTTACCTTGACATTTGCAGCATCTGGGTTGAAGTAATCAATCCTCTCCATGGTGTTGATATCCAAGTTTCCCAGGGCCATCTGTAAACCTTTGCAATCTCCTAAATTACTGGATTAAGCATTAAGGACAACACATTTTACTGGTAGTAAATGGGAACAACCAGTGTCTTATTTTCTATTTAGCTACTAATCAACAGGTATAGAGCAGGAGTCAGGCCTGCCACTGAGTGAAAGGATACCAGCCAGCGTAGCTGAGGGTGGCAGGGTCCATGTGCTCTGGATAGGGGTTGAGAGGCACCACCTTCCTCTTGATGGGGTCAAACACCAGCTGGTAGAGGAAGGTGTTATTGGCCTTAACAAAGCCATCAATGTACTCGTCTGGCACAACCACGTTCATCTTCAGGTACTGGCCCATCTTCCTTATCACCTGAAAGTAAATCAACAAGTTAGAGGGGCCATTTTCATAATAGTTTAATTTATACCACTGTGCAAGTTCTACTACCAATTCTCATTCAAACTTACCTTAATGATGTCAGGGTTGTTTGCCATCCTCAGCAGTTTACAGGCTTTGCCCAAGCCAATCCCATAGAGCGAGGACAGATAGTCACAGCCAGAGAGAATACACATGTGGCGGAACTTCTCCTCGGTGAAGACATCACCCAGAGAGCGGCACCGCCCCAGGTGGTTCTGGTCAATCTCTAGACCGTTCCCCTGTTTGTCCATCTTTAGGATCACCTGAGCGAGATGACAAGCAGAACACTTTATGGTCATTACCATCATCAAGTTTGTATGTCATGAGCCAATCCAGTGAGGTTACATAATCTACTTAACCTACCATATTGATTTTAACAAAAAGTCGCAACAAAAAAGTGTGAGAGAAAAAAAAAAACTGTACATCTAACAGATACGTTTCAAGTCAATGTGCGGGGGATGAATGGATATTACATGTGGGTAAACGACGTGTAAAGGTTGGTTAACAAGCATCAATTACTACGTTGGCACACAGTCCTTAGTATGGCCACTCCACGTAAAGAAGTCACAGTAGAGGGCCTTTGAATAGTTTGTTAGGAGCCCTGGTCTACTCATTTCAACTCTAATTGTCCGGGTGCCTGCATCAGCATTTCACAGGCTTCCAAGCAGCCATGGCGAGGTAGATGTCAACCGGAGATAATGCGATACTTTTGTGAACTTACCAGACGGACCGCCCATCCGGTCACTCGCTTCCGTTGCAGTTTAGGACACTGACGAGAACAGTCACATTATGGTTTACCATTAGTGCATTGACTTGTGACAATTCACTTGAGAGTACTATCTGTCCATACAAAATCTCATCATCTTCTAGTAAGTATACTTTGATTAAAAATCATACCCTTTAAGACAGAATTCAAATCTGCCATTACTCGTATTTGGCAAAAATCACACGTGAATTATTTGACAAAAACCAACACATTACGTTGGTGTACGCCCACACCATTCTAACACAGGAAAGCTGCTTTTTAACGTACTTAATTACAATTTTTTTGAAAGGAAAACTATTTCAACCATATTTTAATTAATTATTGGTCATATTGCATAGAAATCTGGAGAAACCGGACAGTTACTTTAAAGCCAGATGATTGTGACAAATGCATTACAGAAATTCCACAGTGAGCACCATCTTAAAGTTCCTAATACTGTACTTTTTTGCAGCCAAACGCCAGTAAGTCTGAGTCCTCAGTGATGATAGCCTGTGCAATGCCAGCCTTGTTAAGGAAGGCCAGCTGGGCGTCAGCTTCATATGGGGCCACCACACAGTCCACACCTCTGGTCCTTGCTGCCTAGAGGATAGAACATTATTTCAGCTGAATAAAAAAATGTAAGCCACCCATTTGCAATCATAAACATGAAGTAGTGCATAACAAACCAGATGACTTGAGTTTAACTGGTTAAGCCAGAGTAAACCACTGCACAAATAGACACGCTTCATTCAAGATATGCAGCATAGGTTTCAGTGAAAAATACTGATCAGTAGAAAACATTCTTTCATCTGAACAGTTTTAGCAGGATTGGAAACACTTGCCTTGATGACATCATGGGCCATGGAAGGGGTGACGTTAACACAGCGGGTAAAGCAGTCTCTGGCTTCTGAAATCTTTCCCTCACGTAGGAGCTGCTTGCCTTTCTGCAGATTTGCCTGACGACGCCTGGAAGACAGACATGAGATCTAACTTTTTTGGCAAAAATATTTACTCTGTTCTGTTAAAGAAACGACATAGACAAGTACAGGGAGAGATTTTATTTCATTAAAGGAGACAACACATTACAGCAAATACCATCTAGGCCTAACATTAATTCAATCACCATCTTAACTTTAAAGAATATTACAGGTCCGCACACACTTACTCTCTGCGAGCTTTGTCCACTTCCTGTTTTGAAGGCAGATTGCAGCCATCAAACACCAAGATGGGCTTCACACCAAAAGACAACAGCATGTCCACAAATTTCATGCAGTATGTCACATACCTATGTGAAAGAAAATGCATAGGGGTAGGTAGTTATATTAATAAGGTTAGGTGGTTATAGTTAATGCATACTGAGATATCTATAAAACAACTTACTGGTCAGTTGGCTCCCCTTTGGCAAGTTTCTCTGCACAAGAAAATGCCCCTTTATGAAGCCAGCAATATGTGTCTACTGCGACTGTCTGTCCCTTGAATTTCCTCACACTGATGGGCTCCGAGGCATCTTTGAGGAACTGCAACAGTCCCTGGATCCCCATTTTAATCTGATGATTCCACTAACATTCAGGGCAGTTGCTTGCTATATTCAAGGACAGAGAGAACATTTGACAAAACATTATGATGAAACTAGACTGAAGAGAAAATACATAGCTAACGTTACCCTGGTTAGGGTGCAAATTCATGTACCTTTACCAAGTGCTAACAACTCAACTATAACTGGGCCTAACAAACTGGTTTGTTAGCTAGCTAGTTAATCATAATCTGCATATACCTGCTAATTTACCTGGACATGGCGGTAGATGATTATGAATTCTAGCTAGCTAATTGCTACTTCCATTGGTGTAGAAACCAACCGTAACTAATGCATTCGAACATTCGTGGATCTCCAATAACCTACGCCACTCACCACTGATGACAAACACATGTAGCAAGTTGGCTAAAGTTAGCTAACTACCTAGCCCGGCCACTAACGTTAGTTAGCTAGCCAACTACCTAAAATGATATACCTATAAATACATTAATGGTGCTGTAAAAAAACAAACACAACAGCAAGTTGTAGCTAACTAACGTTAGTTAGCAGTTCGATAACTTGGCATGAAGTGGGCTAACTAACTTAGTTAATAGCATTAGTGAACGTTTCTAGCAAACTCTGGCTAGCGCATAGCTAAATTCGCTGTAAACCCATTTTAATACGTTATTTTGAAATAAACACATGCATCCAACAATATAAGACCCCATTAGCAAGCTACCGAGATATTTACCCGCGAATTGAATAGCCTGACAATGACAAATACTAAGCATTTAACGATGACGGGGCACCTTGTAATATAACAGGAGTTCGCTTTTAGCGGCAAAAGTAGGAGTTCACAATGAGCTGATACTATTGGTCAGTCTATTCTGATCAGCCAACCATGTGTGGGGGGATGGTCTTTGGTCGACAAAAGAAGAAGGGAGTGGTTATCTTTTTTGAGGTGTCATGTTGCATATTGATGGCGGGAGTCCAGCTACACCTTTTTGTTTTGTTTTTCCACTAGATGGCGAGCTTGTCTTCTGCCGTGTTAGGATTTTTTGACGTGTCGTCTTTCCCAGCCTCCCTTACACTTCCTGCTTCGGTAGCTGCCTGTGTGTTTGAGCAAACGATACATCAACAACAAGATGGAATAGTTGTGAAAATTTAGTGAAACCCCGTCAATGACAACGTTGTATTTACTTGTGGCAAGCTATTCAATTAAACACTTTATTTAAATGTCAGTTCTTAGGACTTGAAGGTTGTTGGCACAACATCAACAATGCATCTCTCTCCCACCAACGGAGATTTTACCTTCGTCTCATCAACTGAAGCCGAGGGTAATGTTAGCAGGCCGTGAATACTGTCATCTGTGTTTATGTTATTTTTTGTTAGCTACCGTATTTGTCAACACGTCATTCTGCTAACTTGACATTTAATTAATTAGGTAGTTAACTTGAGTACAGTGTTGTCGTTTTTGACAAGTTACCGTGGTTCGGAGAGATTTGACAACTTTCTGCTGCTACTACTGTACGGCTAGGCTAACGTTAGCAAGCTAACTAGCTAGCTATATCACTGAAGGAAATCCAACTATAACTACATATTATTATTCTACTGAAGATAAGTTTAATACATAATTCTACAATATATTTGGACTAGTTTAATGTATTTCCCATTGAGGAAATACAGTTTAAAGGTCCAATGCAGCCGTTTTTATCTCAATATCAAACCATTTCTGGGTAACAAGTACCTTACTGTGATTGTTTTCAGTTAAAATGGTCAAAAAGAGAGAAATTACTTCCTAGCAAAGACTAATTGCTAGGGCGCTCTGCGAGTGGTCGGAATAGGGAGGGGAAACCAAGGGGCTAGGGTTCTGGTATAGAAGCACGGGTTTGACTGCTCCTACAGTTTTGCTTCGGTACTGCAGTTTAAAGCTGCAATATGTAACTTTTTAGGCGACCGACCAAGTTCACATAGAAATGTACATTATAGATCTGTCAAGTCTAAGAAGCGGTATATCTGTTCTATGTGCGCTATTTCTATGCTTCCCATTCTTCAGTTTCGTTTTTGCATCTTTTACTTTAGGTTTTTTACACCAGCTGAAAATACAATATCTTTGGTTATTTAAAATATATTTCACAGCAGTTTAGATCGTACAATGATTCTCTACTTGCTTGTTTTGTCACATTAACTGAAATTAGGCGAACTATTTGAATTTTAGCAACCACAAAATGGCGGAGTGATTTTTGCATATTGCACCTTTAACTGATGCCGGCTCAGAAATACAATTTCCATAGATGGCCACATAGAGAAGTCAGATATACAATTCATAATAAAATACTTTAGTCATAACCTTTGTGCACAAAACATCCATTGAATTATTCAAATATATTAAATTTTTTATCACTCACAGCATCAGAAGATTTTAACATTTTATGTATATTCATCCAATTTCTGCCATTTTTTTGGATAATGTGATGTCGTCGATGCTCGCGCTGCTTCTGTGTGAACTGAGTGCAAGCGCGCATGTGATGTATAAAACGGATGCAACCCAGATATAGACGGCCCATGAATCGGCGTATACGAACACGAGTAGATTAACTTCAAAACAACGGGCGGACATCATGGACACAGTCTCCAGTTCTTATATTACCTCAGTGGGGAAAACTGAAAAAGGTGGCAGAGCTAGAGAGGGGTTTGTCAGACCATGAGACATCCCGAAAATCGGTGTTCTTACCAAACTATTATGACCCCTATATGGAAAGATGAGACTCATGAACACAATGTTCTCCGTTTTGCTCTACGACCTCCACAAGACTCTTCTGAAGTCGGTACAGCCGATCTGCCAACTTCTGTCTGTCTGTAGCATTTAACCAATAATCGTTTACATTAAATTCCCTACAGATCTAAGCGGTACTATTGATGCCCCAGATGTTAAATTGAGCATGGGCAGTGACAATGCAAAAGACCCATATGCAACCACGTTCCTGAGGAAACGAGGCTATGGTTGGCTCCTGGAAGTAGAAGAGGATGACCCCGAAGACAACAAACCTCTTCTGTGAGTACTTTCTTCAAGAAACCCATTCTTTATCCATGCACATTGATATTAAAATGACACTTGATTTGTCCATCAATACAATTGAAATGTGCTGATATCTCACGATGCTCCTGTAAAATCTCATGTGATTAGGGAGGAGCTGGACATCGACCTGAAAGACATCTACTACAAGATCCGCTGTGTGCTGATGCCAATGCCCTCCTTGGGCTTCAACCGGCAGGTTGTGAGGGACAACCCTGACTTCTGGGGCCCGCTGGCTGTAGTGCTCCTGTTCTCCATGATCTCCATCTACGGACAGTTCAGGGTGAGGCGGCAGTACAAGCTGTGAATTTGTTGGTCTCAGATCATATCTTACATCTGGCCCTTGGCTGTTGGTTAAACTAAGTCAGATTACTCAGAAAAAGTCAATGGTGAACTTTGATTGTAAGGTTGAGATTTGAAACAACATTAGATGCATACGCTGCTCACACAAACAGTGCTTGATTCACTAGTTATCTTCATTAACTGAATTGAATTAAATGGGAGGCAGCCTACATTGATATATCTAATGATATAAGAATGTTCAGAAAAGGACTTACCCCACCAAAATATTTTTGTCTTCTAGAGACTGGTACCATGTCACAATTATTTTCTTCTGTGTTTTAATTATTTGTTGCCTTATTATTTTTTCCTAAGGTCGTGTCTTGGATAATTACCATTTGGATATTCGGATCTTTAACAATCTTTTTGCTGGCTCGTGTTCTTGGTGGTGAGGTAAGAAATACCTAAGTTTACATTTAGCTGAAATAAATCATATTTCGAGTCTTGATGAGTAATACATTCTCTTACTTGATACTGTACATGCATCTTTGGATGTGCATTTGCTTCCTATTACAACATGAATGATGTGGCATGCTGTGAAACACTGACTTGCATTGTTCTGTATCGGATAGGTGTCTTATGGACAAGTTCTTGGAGTGATTGGATACTCTCTACTCCCGCTCATCGTTATAGCCCCATTGCTTTTGGTCATTGGGGGTTTTGATGTTGTTTCTACACTAATAAAGGTGAGCATAGGAGCAAAGATAATCAACCTTTATTCTATCTGATTTTTCTCACAAATGAATCTCTGTAATTCAGCATTGCACGTTTGATTTAACATACACTAACATATTCAAAGCTTTTTTTACATTTCTGTATTTTATTAGATTTTTTAGAAAGTACAAATGGACTCTTAAATCAGATATGTTCATTAGTTGTTAGTAACTGTCTTTCATTTTTCAGCTTTCTGGAGTATTTTGGGCTGCTTACAGTGCTGCTTCACTGCTTGTTGGGGATGAATTCAAAACCAAGAAGCCTCTGCTCATATACCCCATTTTTCTTTTGTACATCTACTTCCTGTCACTATATACTGGTGTCTGATTGGACAAATGGCTACTCCGTGGTTGGCGAATGACACAAAGCACCGTGAAAAGACACACAAATATTCATTCCACAATGAAAATAAGGAGTATGGATTTTTGAAAGGTCATTTTCTCCCTCTTTAACCCTGTTTACAATCTTAGACTGTGGGGATATAAGGGTGTATGTTACATCAGTGTATTTAAATGTACCCCTTACCTCTGTGCTCAGTAAAAAGTGGTTGCTTATGGTCTAAGCTCTACATTCAAATTTAATTGTAATAAGAGCACAGGTTCGCATTGGCATCATATAAGAGGAGTGTAATTATTTAATCAAGGCGTCAAATCTGGTTTTGGTAATCATGGGAGGGTCACATACTGTCATTGATTTTTGTTAATGCTTTTATTCCATAGAGGAAGGTGGTGCCAAATACAGTGCAAATATGTTCAATTTGAACCAAGGGGTTAAGAAAGAAGTCTGCCCCTAACGTCAGCCCGTAAGGATCCCATTATTGTGTAAGGGAGTGGGATTAGCATACTGTTATGCATAGTTATGCATAGTTATGCATTATTTAGTTGTCATTTCTGCCTGGGTAGACAAGTAGATGGGCAGTTTGAGTGAAATAAAACAAAGTACTGAAGTTTGGTGCCTTTCATTAGTTGTTTTATACAGTTGTTTAAAAATATTTTATTGAAAGGATGTATATTTTCAGACAACTTGCTTGTATCTATTGTATGTATTCAGAACATGTTATACAATTGTAGAAAATTACTAGACCTGGAACAATAGAGATAGTTATAAAACACTCATTATTTCACACTAGGGGGGCTTAAAAGATATCAACATAATTGTCTGTATAACTGTTGTTGTACTGTCCTAGATATTTTAAACAACATTCTCTCTCATACAGTATGTAAAGTGTTATATCATTAATCTTCATGCAAAAACATAATTTAACACCCAAGCTTTATGTAGGAAATGTAGAATTTACCATAGCAATTAAAGTCTATTGGCAGGGGGGTTAAATGAGTAATATGGAATTTACAGTGAATATATTATGAATTATTAGCTGTAAAAACGCATTAAACCCGTTTGAGATAGTAATGTGTTTACACAGTGTATATAATTAGCTTTTAGAACAATTGAAATTTGCCAATTTGACCTCAATCTTTGTCACAAAGTACATCTGGAATTGGGTATCTGATAAGTCAATTAAAGTATGCATCTGGTTTCTAGGGGTAGAGGATGAACGGAAATGTGAATTGGTTTTACAGTAATGCAGTCTAAACCAATTTCGGTGTTATTGGGGTGGCTGACTTCAAGGGCTTTATAAATGATAAAAGGTGTGTTGGTGGGGGTGGGCCTAAACTCACCAGAACGATTGTCGGTCTGTACAGTAGGGGGATGTTTGCTTCCTGTCGGTGCGGTGTGTAAAGCATAAGCATGTTGCATGCATCCCAGTCTAAATAGTTTGCGCACATATACACTACCGTTCAAAAGTTTGGCGTCACATAGAAATGTCCTTGTTTTCCATGAAAACATACATGAAAAGAGTTTGAATAAGAAATATAGCAAAATGAATAGGAAATGTAGTCATTGACAAGGTTAGAAATAATGATTTTTAATTGAAATAATAATTGTGTCCTTCAAACTTTGCTTTCGTCAAAGAATCCTCCATTTGCTGCAATTACAGCCTTGCAGACCTTTGGCATTCTAGTTGTCAATTTGTTGAGGTAATCTGAAGAGATTTCACCCCATGCTTCCTGAAGCACCTCCTACAAGTTGGATTGGCTTGATGGGCACTTCTTACGTACCACGGTCAAGCTGCTCCCACAACAGCTCAAAAGGGTTGAGATCCAGTGACTGTGCTGGCAACTTCATTATAGACAGAATACCAGCTGACTGCTTCTTCCCTAAATAGTTATTGCATAGTTTGGAGCTGTGCTTTGGATCATTGTCCTGTTGTAGGAGGAAATTGGCTCCAATCAAGCGCCGTCCAGGGTATGGCATGGCGTTGCAAAATGGAGTGATAGCCTTCCTTCTTCAAGATCCCTTTTACCCTGTACAAATCTCCCACTTTACCACCACCAAAGCACCCCCAGACCATCACATTGCCTCCACCATGCTTGACAGATCGCATCAAGCACTCCTCTAGCATCTTTTCATTTGGTCTGCGTCTCACAAATGTTCTTCTTTGTGATCCGAACACCTCAAACTTCGATTCGTCTGTCCATAACACTTTTTCCAATCTTCCTCTGTCCAGTGTCTGTGTTCTTTTGCCCATCTTAATCTTTTATTTTTATTGCCCAGTCTGAGATACACCTTTTTCTTTGCAACTCTGCCTAGAAGGTCAGCATCCCGGAGTCGCCTCTTCACTGTTGACGTTGAGACTGGTGTTTTGCGGGTACTATTTAATGAAGCTGCCAGTTGAGGACCTGTGAGGCGTCTGTTTCTCAAACTAGACACTCTAATGTATTTGTCCTCTTGCTCAGTTGTGCATCGGGGCCTCCCACTCCTCTTTCTATTCTGGTTAGAGCCAGTTTGCGCTGTTCTGTGAAGGGAGTAGGACACAGCGTTGTACGAGATCTTCAGTTCCTTGGCAATTTCTCACATGGAATAGCCTTAATTTCTCAGAACAAGAACAGACTGACGATTTTCAGCAGAAAGTTATTTGTTTCTGGACATTTTGATTCTGTAATCGAACCCACAATTGCTGATGCTCCAGATACTCAACTAGTCTCAAGAAGGCCAGTTTTATTGCTTCTTTAATCAGCACAACAGTTTTCAGCTGTGCTAACATAATTGCAAAAGGGTTTTCTAATGATAAACTTGGATTAGCAAACACAATGTGCCATTGGAACACAGGAATGATGGTTGCTGATAATGGGCCTCTATACGCCTATGTAGATATTCCATAAAAAATCAGCCATTTCCAGCTACAATAGCCATTTACAACATTAACAATGTCTACACTGTATTTCTGATCAATTTGATGTTATTTTAATGGACAAAAAAAATGCTTTTCTTTCGAAAACAAGGACATTTCTAAGTGACCCCAAACTTTTGAACGGTAGTGTGTAATGACATAATTTTGTGACTTTGGTTTTTTTCCGGGCTATTCGCGCACGCCATTTTTTCTTGAGGCAAGTCGAAGTTCGGTAACCGAAGTCTATGCCCCTTTGGCGGTGATTGGCCAACAATACTACTACTAGCAGGAGCTATTGACGGGATTCTTCAATGAAATGTTTGTCATTCAACTAGTTTTAATGCACATTTTTTTCACTTAAGAAATAACATCTTAGATGTAAAATTGCATGACTAAACCTCGACAAAAACGTCTAAATGTATTACAGATTTCTTGAATTATTTTGAGGACGTGTTTACTGGCTATGTTGTGGCTACGGCGTTTCAAGGGGGACAAATGGTAATATTGCCGTTTTTCAAGTGAAGGTCTCAAGGGATTATGCAGTTTTGGTGTTCGCACACAACAACAAAACATACATGGAAAAAAACAAACTTAAGATTTACATACATTTCCACAAACATTAGTGAATAGCCATAGGGGGCGCAGGTAGTTGCCTAGTGACTATTCAGCAGCCTTGGGGTAGAAGCTATTAACCAGTCTGACAGTTTTTGCCATGATACTCCTATACTGCCCGCGTCAGAGTGATGGAAGTGGGTAGAACAGGCCGTGGCTTGGGTGGCTGAGGTCCTTGATGATCTTCTTGGCCTTCCTGCAACACCTGGTGTTCTAGGTGTGCTGGAGGACAGGCAGTGAGCACCCAATGATGCTTTCGGCTGAGTGTACCATATTCAGTCAGCGGAGCCTGACAGTATGCTCTCGATGGTGCTCCTATATAACACTTGAGGGCCCTCAGGGACAGGCCGAATTTCTAAAGCCTCATGCGTCGTCCGTGGATCTGTCAGAACGGTAGACGAATTGGAGAGGGTCTAGTGCAGGGTTCCCAAACTGGCGTCCCGCAGTTGGTTTTATTTGGCCCCCCAAGTTTTCGGAGCAAAATGTTTGTACTTTTTTTTTTCATTTTCATTGCTGGACATAATAGACTGTAAAAACACTAGGAAATCAACTCCAATATATTTTAATTTAAGAAATCTGTTCCCAAGTATTCCCACGCATAACATGAGCCACGTGGTCCTATACAAATATAAGCAAGGCTTGAAATGATTGTTTTAGTCAAACATTATATCTGTTTGGACTTTTTGTGGTCAATTTGCAGTCTAAATTCCGGCCTCCCGACCATCCGCTCAAGAAAAAATCTGCCCGCGGCTGAATCTAGTTGATGATCCCTTGTGTGTCACGGAGGGATGAGGTACTATTGGTCGGTAGTCATTCAGTTCCCTTTCCCCTTTCTTGGGCATGGGGATGATAGTGGACACCTCGAAGCAGGTGGGGATAACAGCCTGAGTTAGAGAGAGATTGAAAATGTCTGAAAACAACAGCTAGCTGGTCTGGAAAAGACCTCGGCAAAAACGTCCAAATGAATTACAGATTTATCGTAGATTAATTAAAACTATTTTGAGGAAGTGCATGGCTATGTTGTTACGGTGGCTCAAGAGGAACAAACAACAGTAATATTGCCCCTTTAGGGAGTATGCGAGTACAGACGTTCGCCTTGCCGAGTTCTGCTAGGAGCAAACTGTACCTATGTATGGGACACCTTTATAGGGACCACCCGCTGGTGGGTTTTAGGGTTTATTATTTGTGTTTCTTGCATGGGGATCCATATCCCAACATCAGGCAAGGGCTGTATTAAAAAACAAAACAACAAAAGAGTCATCATATAATTACATATAAAACTCATATCACTTAATTTAATCCATGCTTGAAAGAATACAAAGGGTGAAAGTGCAAGGTGCTATAAAAAATAAAACAAAAAAAGGAGCAACCTGTTGACAGCACTGATGAAGGCATGGTGCCCGATGTCCACCAGCTGTAGGGCTGTGACGATTATGGAATTTTGGGTAACGATTACATTTTAGTAGACGCTCTTATCCAGAGCGACTTACAGTTAGTGAGTGCATACATTTTCATACTGGCCCCCCATGGGAAACAAACCCACAACCCTGGCGTTGCAAGCGACATGCTCTACCAACTGAGCTACAGGGATTGTTTTGAGATTGTAATTCATCATAATGCATCTTTGGACATTAGCGACGACATACCTAATGAATACAACACAGCTTTGGTGATACCCCTGTCTCAAAACTTTTCCTCCCAACCATGCCTTTCTGCTCTTTAAATGATTACCAATTTTACCCACTTCATGTAAAAATGAAAAACCGCTATTGGGTAAACTATATCTACTTGAATATGATGTTGAATCCCCCCTTCTCCTAAAATTAATATTAATGTATTATGTTGATATTTCTTTTTGATCACGGTTATTGTCCAAATTTGTCTGTTACACGATTATATGATAATTGTGCCAGCCCTAACGTATCATGTCCACCAAATGCATCAAACTCTTTGCATTCTGGCGGAAGTCATTCATGGTCAATGGAGCAGTCCGCAACTCTACCAAAGACAAACTCTTTGAAGCTATGTTGGGGATGCTGCACTAGGCTGCTGTGCCTTCTGTGTACCGCATGCATTAAATATTTTCAAAATCGTGCATTGCTTTACCACAGACAGAAGGGGAAACCCAGACATGTCACAGGGTGCTATAAAGCTGAAGCATCCGTTTAGAAAGTTTTCTCACCACCAAATATAGTAGTGAGAGGAAGTCCAGTCGCGGGTAGTGGGAGAGGATGTAAATAGGGGGAAACTGGGCTGACATTATGCATATTTCTCATCGATGAAACATCTGATCTCAATACATTTTTGTGTTCCAAAAACTAAAA